CGTTTCGCCAAGCCTTCCCAGCACCCGAAAACGGCCCCAGACGGGTTCCAGGCGTTCCAGCGCGCTCCCGAAACGACCCCAGAGAGCCCCGATACGGTCCACGACGACGCCCACGAAGCCGTCATACCCCAAAAAATCGCTCCGAAACGTCCCAAGAGGCCTCCAAGAGCACTCCCAAGAAGGACCGATGAGGTACAAATCTGTGATTTTCCATTGGTTCTTGGTGGATGTTGGGGTTATCCTCTTTTCGACTTCCCCACGCTCCAAGACGGCGGTCGTCTGGGCGTCCGAAGCCGCCTGGGAGGCTGCAAAATCGCCCCACAACTATCCGAAAGGACGTCCAGGCAATCCAAGACAGCCCCAAAACGGCACAACATGGGTCCAAGATGGCCCTAAGAGTGCCCCATGGCGGCCCAAGATGTCCCGAAGACACGCTTTGAAGCATTCCAAATCGTGAGCCAGTCATTCAGGGAGACCGCGGTTGGAGGCAGGGTGGCCCGAGGAAGCCCCCAGAAAGCATGAGACATTTTGTGAGGCCCCCAGAGGCTCTCCAGGGAGGAGCCTCCGCAAAAAAGAACTGAGGAGGATGGGGAGAATGCGCAGGGTATGGCGAGAATGAAGAAACAGAAGCATTGAGGAAGGATAACGAATAACATTATGATAACGACGATGCCGGAAAAGGCAACAAGGAGTTATCGCTAAATTGCCGGCTTGACCTTCCTGCCATCCCGCCTGCATGCCGATTTTTATGGGCGAAGGTGCATGGCGCAAAGCGCCAATGCAGTCTTGTATGTATGTTTTTTCTTTGGTCTTCACAACAAGAGGAGAGCAAACACAACACACACACAAAGGCGCATTCTTCCAGGAACAGAAAGCAAGGACACCTCCCCCTCCCAGAGCCCCGCCTGGCGCGCCATGGCGCTCGCAGCGGCGGGCAACACCCCAACGCCCGTGGGGGCCGTCCCCGGGCGGCAGCCTGCCGCCCTCCCCGGCGCACCCGGCGGCCTGCCCCTGCCCCTTGCCGTCGGGGTGCTGCGCGCAGCGCCAGCCTGCCACTCGGCTGGGCCTCGAGCAACGCGCAGAGGCTCCTCCTCCTCCTCCTCCTCCTCCTCCTCCTCCTCCTCCTCCTCCTCCTCGGGCGGTGGCGGAGAAAATCGGCCCGGCCCCGCTCTTGGGCGGGCCAGACGCAAGGGGGGGGATTGGGAAAAAGGGGGTCTGCGAAATCTGCTGCATGCAGCTGGTTTCGGCCCCACCGAGGGGCCCCTTCCTCGATATACATAACCGCCCCCGGCGCCGCCGGGAGAATCAGCTGCGTGAGCTGATTCTCAAGCCCCCCCTTTGCTATCCCCCCCTTTCGCCCGACCCGAGCTCCGTCCTGGTGCCCCCTCCCCCTCCCCCTCCTCTACAATTACTCAATGTGAAAATACTCTCCCTCTTCCCCTGATGGCGTCCGGGTGATGGCCGCGCACCCCCCGCGTATTGTTTTTTTACACAGGATGCCCGGGAAATCCCGGGAAACGACTCTCGCTGGGGCGCCGGCGTCATTTTTTCCCAAAATGCTGCTCTCGTTGAGGCGCCGGCCTCATTTCTGCTCCCGAATCGTTCCGAATCGTGCTCCCGCTGCAGCGTGGGCCTCATTTTCGGATCGGTGTTTGGCCTCCGTCGTTCAGGATTGCGTTCTCGCCCCAGCGCGGGCCTCTTTCTCGCGCGCCCATCCGCCCGCCACCACCGCGCCGCACCACCACCAGCACCACCAGCACCACCACCACCACCAGCACCACCACCAGCACCAGCACCACCACCACCACCCCCACCACGACCACCACCCGCCCAGCACCAGTACCAACACCACCACCACCAGCACACACAGGGCACACCCAAGCACACCAACCACATCACCACGACCACACCAACACCACCACACCACCACCACCACCATCTCCATCACCACCACCACCACCACCAACCACCACCACCACCACCACCACCACCCCCACCACCACCTCCACCCACCTCTACCACCCCACCACCACCACCACCCCACCAACCACTCTACCACCACCACCACCACCACACCACCACCACCACCACCACCACCTCCACACCACACACCACCACACCCCCCCGTAGGACGTTCAGATATGACGCGAGCGCACCTAGCTTGCCCCCTCCCCCGCCCACTCCCTCTACCCCTCCCCCTCCCCCTCTCCTCCTCCCTCCCCCTCATCCTCTCTCCTCCTCCTCCTCCTCCTTCCTTCTCCTCCTCCTCCTCCTCCTCCTCCTCCTCCTCCCCCTCGCTCGCCCGGCCCCGCTCTCGGGCGGGCCCCCCCCCCCCCGCGCGGCGGGCGCCCCCCCCAAAGGGGAGGCCCAGGGCCGCGCGCCAGGACCAGCTCCTGGGCAAGCTCATCAGCATGGAGCAGAAGAGCCTGGAGGACCGGGCGGGCCTCACCGCCCCGCCGCCGCGCGTCCCTGGGCGGAGGGGTCGGGGGCGGCAAGGAGGGGGGGGGGCGCTTGCGCCCTGTCCCGGGCCAGACCAAGCGGCCCCCTTCAGCGGGTCGAATCGGATGGGTGGCGTGCAGACGTCGGGGGCGGCAAGGAGGGGGGTGATGACTACTCCAGATTTCGTAATAAAAGGGAGGGGGTCTGGACCCTCCAAGACAAGCCATTTCAGACCCTCCCCGTGGGAGAACCCTCCAAAAAATCGTCCCCAGACCCCCCCAGGCCCTGCAAGATAGCCTGGAAGAGACCCCCCCCGAAATGAGACCCCCCTCCCTTTATTACGAAATCTGGAGTAGGGGGCGGGTGGATATCATGGCGGGGGCCGTGACCTTTTCCCAGAGTTCGTGGCGCCTCTGCTTAACTATTTCATTGCGTCCCTGGCCGCCTGGCCCCCCCGCTGGGCCGCGCACATGCCGCCGGTCATGATTTGCACCCCCCCCTCTTGGACACCCCCCTCTTGGCCGCTTCCTAAGGGGGGGGCGGAGAGGGGGCAGGAGGAGGTCCTCGTCGTCCTCGTCCTCGTCCTCGTCGACGTCCTCGTCGTCCTCGTCGTCGTCCTCGTCCTCGTCCAGCGCCGTCGCCGTCGTCGTCGAACGTCGCCGTCGAGCAACGTCGTCGAGCAGAGCAGTACCATAGGAAGGGCCGCATCACAAGGGCACCCTCGCATCTGTGCCTCTCGGCGCATCCTGGCCCTCGGCAGTGGGCCACGGGTTTCTAGCTTTCGGCCTCGAGTTGGGCGTCCAAGGGCCTTGCATCCTCGCCGCCCATCCTCATGATCCGAACGCGCTGCGGGAGGATGAGGAGGTAGGCGAAGATGTGTCGAGAGTCTGGCTTAGAATTGGGATATCAGAGTGAGGGGCTGAACCGAACGGTCATTCACTGTCCCTGGGTGCGTGGCTGAAGTGGAATTCCGCGATGCGGATTATTATCGTTGTTGTTGTTGTTGTGGTTGTTGTTGTTGTCGTTTGTTGTTTGTTGTTTGTTGTTTGTTGTTCGTTGTTTGTTGTTGTCGTCGTCCCACCCGCGACCCGCCCCGCGACCCACCCGCGACCCACCCCGCGACCCACCCGCGACCCACCCCGCGACCCACCCGCGACCCACCCCGCGACCCACCCGCGACACTCGCGACCCACCCGCGACCCACCGCGACCCACCCGCGACCCACCCGCGACCCACCCCGCGACCCACCCAAAATTCTCGGCGCCTGCGGCGGATTTCTTTTGCAATCGTTCCAGGTGGAGAACCTGCGACACACCCGCGACCCAAATCGCGACTGCGACCCACCCGCGACCCACTGCGACCCACCCGCGACCCACCCGCGACCCACCCCGCGACCCACCCAAAATGTTCGGCGCCTGCGGCGTTTTTTTTTGCAATCGTTCCAGTTGTAGAACCTGCGACCCACCCGCGACCCAGACCGCGTTCAGTGTACAAATCAAAATGTTCGGCGCCTGCGGCGGGCTGTTTTTGAATTCCTTCCAAGTGGAGGTGGAGAGCCCGCGACCCACCCGCGACCCAAACTACGTTCACCGAACAAGCATTAACTTCGGCGCCTGCGGCGGGTTTCTTTTGCATTCGTTCCAGGTGGAGAGCCTGCGACCCAAACCGCGTTCAGTGTACAAATCAAAATGTTCGGCGCCTGCGGCGGGCTGTTTTTGAATTCCTTCCAGGTGAAGGTGGAGAGCCCGCGACCCACCCGCGACCCAAACTACGTTTACTGAACAAGCCAAACATTCGGTGCCAGCGGCGTTTTTTTTGCAATCGTTCCAGGTGGCCCACCAGCGATCCCCCCCGCGCTGAACTTGTCAGAGCACACAAATCGGCGCCTGCGGCGGGCTTGCTCGCACTGGTTTGCGAAAGCGCCCTCGCGGCATTTCCCCGATCTGGCCCACGTTGACTCTACAGCAGCACAGGAGGTGGAGGAGGAGGAGGCGGACGACGACGACGATGAGGACGAGGACGCAGACGAAGAAGAGGAGGAGGAGGAGCAGCAGGAGGAGCAGGAGGAGGAGGAGGAGGGCGCCATCGACAGGGAAGGTGAGGGCCACGAGGTTCGCCGGCTCGACGCCCGCGTCACCCGCGCCCGCCCCCTCACTCTTATCCGCAATTGCGGGGTGCTACGTATCGCTCCAGAGCGTTCCGGAACGCCATCAGATCGTTTCGTAACGCTCTGAGATGGCCGCGGCGCCCGATACATCCTCCAGAACCGCCAGACCCCAGAGACCCCCGATTGATCTCGGTCCGAGTTTGTCCTTGCCCTGGTTTCGTCTGAAGGTGGACGAGAACGCGTGCTCCAGAGAAGACCTCGCCCTCAGATCGTCTTGCCCTCGGCGGACGCCGGCGGAAGGCGGCGGTTCAAAGATGGGGCGCCGAGGAGTGGGGCCTGACGGATAGGAAGGGATCCCAGGCTGAATTTTAGGATTATTGTGCTTATGGCCCCATCTCTCAGGGCCCCTTTTTTGAACCGCCGAGGGAGTAGATCGACGGATGGTCTGCCGATGAAGAGTGGGCCGGCGGAACAACAGCTTTGTCAGAGCGCACCCGGGGAGAGGTCCGTGGAGTAGCTGTACAGGTACCTTTGGTCTCCCCACAAGCCGAAAAAGAAACAACGCCGTAACACATCGAGTTTGGGCGCTCCGCGTGGAGCGCCAAAAGTTCATGCTTATGTTATGGTGTTTCTTCTTGTGGCCAAGCTGCATGGCGCGGATCAGGCCCAGTGGTGGCCAGGGCAAATGATGGGTCGCGCCGTAGCTCCCGATGCTTCCGCCGCGAGTGCCGTGCAGGACACCCTGGCGGCGCTGGAGGAGGACGTCACCGCTAACACCAAGTCCCTGCAGCAGCTGGACAAGCAGCTGCTCGACCGCCTCTCCAACTCCCAGGGGAACCTCCTCGAGGATGCTCGTGCTCTTGCCTTGCGCTCTGAAGGCGGTGTTGCCCCGCGTGTGCGTGCGCGCCTGGAAACGCCGGTGGCGCCTGCCTCCAGCCTGCCTGCCTCTGGAGGAGGAGGAGGAGGAGGAGGAGGAGGAGGAGGAGGAGGAGGGGAGGGAAGGAGGAGGAGGGAGGGAGGAGGGAGGGAGGAGGAGGAGGAGGAGGAGGAGGAGGAGGGAGGAGGAGGAGGAGGAGGAGGAGGAGGAGGAGGAGGAGGAGGAGGAGGAGGAGGAGGAGGAGGGGGAGGAGGGGGAGAGCGCTTGGTGTCCCTTCTCGGTTTCCGGGGCTCTGGGGTCCCGCGTCGCGAGTCGCAGCTCCACGTCTTTGGCTTGTCCGCCCCGAGGCGCGGCTGTGGCCTGAGCCGCTTCCAGGCCTGCCGCTGCCTCCTCGCCTTGCTTCTCTCCTGGGGCCTCTCCTGCCTGCCCCCTGCCGGCTTCAGCTTGGCCCCCCCGCGGCCCGCAAAGAGCAGCGACGCACCCAAGGTCACCCGTACCCCAGGGTCGCTCTTGCGTGCAGCCGGAGGGGAGAGGCGGCCGAGACCCCACGCCTCTGCGACGAGGGAAGGGCCAGGGCACGGGACGCTCCAGAGACAGGCCTCGCCCTCGAGGGGTCGCAGGCGTCGGCGTCCCTGCCTCTGCGGAAGGCGGCGGGAGGGTGGCGGGAGGCGGCGGGAGCAGGGCGGCGGCTGCGCCGGTAGAAGGCGGCGGGCCCTGAGATCCTGGCGTCGCAACGATTTCGAGCAGGGCGCTTCCGCCTTTTCGGGAGCCCTGGGACCCTCGCAGATCGATCGGGATCGAACAATGAGACAGAAAGATGGGGTCTAGTGTTCCGGGCGTGTGTTTTTTACTATGCTGCATTTTTTTCGCTACGCCGGATTTCAGGGGAGGTACAGCCAAGACGATGAAATAAGGAACAGTTTGGTTCGGAAGGGGCGCGATGTTATTCGGGTCATTCCATGGCTATTCCTCTAGTCTTCCTACTAGTGCACGCAGGCGCTTTCGGGGCCCCGCGCTGGAGCTTCGTGCCTCCTGTTGCGCTCTTTCTGACAGCAGCCCGACGTCAGAAGATGCGCATCCAAGAGGCGGCAACATGTTGGGGCTTGGGGTCGTCGCAGTCAGCCATGTTGGGGAGGGCGATTGCGCCCTGTCCAGGGCCAGACCAAGCGGCCCCCATCAGCGGATCGAGTCGGATGGGTGGCGTGCAGACGTCGGGGGCGGCAAAGAGGGGGGTGATGACTAGGGGTGGGGGATATCATGGCGTGGGCCATGATATCTCCCCAGATTTCATGGCGCCTCTTCGTATTTCATTACGTCCCTGGCGCCCCTCCCCCCCTGGGCCGCGCAGATGCCGCCGGCCACTGGCCATGGTTTGCGCCGCCCCCCCTCTTTGACGCCCCCCTCTTGGCCGCCCCCGAAGACGAGCTTGAGGTCGAGAGCTCCACCTGTTGTTGTGAAGGCCTTGCGGCCGGAACCCTGAAGGCGGGACCTCACGTTGCATCATCGGGGGACCTCGCCTGTCCCCCAGATTGATGTCTTCTCTTGTGCCCGACGCGGGCTCGATGCGGACTCGACGCGGATTCGACGCGGATCCGATACGGATTCGACACGGCTTCGACACGGATTCGACGTGGATTCGGCACGGATTCGACGCGGATAGGGCCGAGAGGGTACAGACAAGGTCCCCCGAGGATGCAGCATATCCCGGGGTCCCCTGCCGGGACCTCGGTTGGGGCCCAGGCCAGAGTCTCTGGCCGAGGCCGAGCCCCAGGGGGCGGCGGTGATTTGGCCCCCCATCCCTCCCCTCCTCTACCCCCCCCCACCTCTTCACATCCCTTGTAAAAAAACAATACAAAACACACTTTGCCTCCAAATTCGGAACATACGCAGCCAACCCGATGCGGCCCCCCCCCACCATCCCTGTCAAAAAACAATACAGAGTACACTTGGCGGCGGCGGCGGCTGCGGCGGCTGCGGCGGCGGCGGCGGCGGCGGCGGCTGCGGCGGCGGCGGCGGCGGCGGCGGCGGCGGGGGGCGGGGGCGGCGGCGGCGGCGGCGGCGGCGGCGGCGGCGGCGGCGGCTGGCTGCGGCGGCGGTTGGGCAGGCGGCGGCGGCGGCGGCGGCGGCGGCGGCGGCGGCGGCGGCGGCGCGGCGGCGGCGGCGGCGGCGGCGGCGGCAGGCGGCGGCGGCGGGCAGCGGCGGCGGCGGCGGCGGCGGCGGCGGCGGCGGCGGCGGCGGCGGCGGATTGGCCCCCAGTAGCTGCCCATCCAAAGACGACTGCTGAATATGCTGAGGCTCGGGCCAGACTCGGGTGCTACGTATGTGTTGGGAGGGCGGGTGGGAGTGAGCGAGACGGCTTGCGGGCGGGGAGGGGGTAACTTGACCCCGCCCAACCCTTCCCCCCCCGTCAGGGAAGGAACACAACAGGAACGGAGTCGACATTTCTTTTCTCTTTCTTCTTTCCTCAGCTTTCTTGGGGCTGGCGACGACGACGACCACCACCACCACCACCACCACCACGACCACGACCACGACCACGACGACCACGACCACGACCACGACGACCACGACGACGACGAAGACGACCACGACGACCACGACGACCACGACGACCACGACGACCACGACGACCACGACGACGACGACGACGACGACGAAGACGACGGCAGCGTCTCACACACGCCGAGGGGTCCGGCACATTCTCTTCCACGGCGCCGGAGGCTCTCGCGCAAACGGCGGATCGGGTGCCCCGGGGGCGGCCGAGGCCTCTCCCGCGGAGCGGCATATCGCCAGCCAGGCGTGGCATGCTCTGCTCAGCCCTCCCCGTGGCCCGAGGCTCACCTCCTGCTGCCGGGTCGCCTGACTGTAAGTCGGGCGTGTCCTCCTACAGGAGGACTGCTCAAGAGCAGTTCACAACAAGGAGTCTGATGGTGACTTGTCGTGCTCTTCGACTATTTGGGAATACTTCGGATTCTTGTCTCACTCTTCTCCGAAAGGCCGCCGGTAGGAGGACATGCCCGACCGAAGGCTCACCTCCTGGTCCCCGGTCGCCTAACTTCGGGCCCTCGCGCAACGCGATGCGCGACGCGCGGTTAGCTTCGCCTCGGCCCCATCCACCGTTCGCCTTCCTCGTGTGTTGAGCGGCGCCCCTTGGGCACACTTTCGTGAGGCGCCCTCATAGGTACAATGTAGCGTGCAGCTTCGAGCAGCCACGGAGCACCCGACGCTCAGTCAACCGTTCGCTCCTTCACCGGAGTCCGCATCCACATTCTTTCTAGTCGGAGGCTGCGCGGGGGCAAGGGGGGAGCAAGGACACCGAGCTGATCGAGGTGCTTGCCAACACGAAGGCCAAGGCGAAGGAAGTGGAGGGGAAGCTGGCCGAAGCCGACGAGCGCAAGATCGAGATCAACGAGAAGCGTGAGCAGTTCCGACCTGTCGCAACGAGGGGCAGCATCATGTATTTCAACATGGTAGACATGACCAACGTGCCGAGCCCTAGTCCTGCGAGATTGCACTGTGAGTGATCATCCGACGATCCGATGTAGGTGGTCGTCGCCAGTGAAAATTGGATCGGCCTGGGGCAACACCAAGCGGATAATATCAGACGTTGGGTGCATGCCAACCTGGGTGTTAACACACTGCGCCCATGCCGAGGTGCAGAACCCGATCACCTTGCAGCAGTCCGGCTGGATGTACAACTGCTCGCTCATGCAGTTCCTCGAGCAGTTTGAGAACTCGGTGAGGCTCTCCGAGAAGGCCCCGGTCAGACTGGCGGGGGGAGACGACGACCCCGACCCCCGGCGGGATCGAAGCTTGACAGCCCGCGGGCCTCGGAGGTGACGACCCCCTCGAGGCCAGCTGGCCGTCCAGAACCATCGAGGAGCATCCTTGATCATTTGGCGAAGAAGCCACGCACGAAACCGACAAAAAACACAGGGAATGGACGTCCAAGCGATGGCCGGTTGGATCGTCCCAGGGCCTGGCAGCGGCCTCCCGGGGGAGGGGCAGTGTCAGAAGCACGCCAGGGTTGGAATTGGAAACACACAAAACCTTCCGCCGGGGGTCCTGGGGACGACCGCACGAAGGCGGAGGACGGGCAGTGGTATCTCCTGCCGCTGACGCCACAAGGTCTCACGTTGCCCTCCGCCTCAGGTAGCCGCCCTTTTGGCGGTTCAGGTCGGGTTGGGGGAGGTCCGAGAAGGACTAGGAAATGAGAGGAAGGGGGGGAGGGAGGATGTGGATGGACGAGGGGGAGGAGGAGGAGGAGGAGGAGGAGGAGGAGGAGGAGGAGGAGGAGGAGGAGGAGGAGGAGGAGAGTGGTGACACAACCCTTATGGCAAGAGGGAGAGGGGGGATGGGAATGCAGGCCCAGATCCCGTCTTTGGAAGCTCCGAAGCGCAGCCCGTGGCTCTTTCACGAGAGATCGTGGCCTCGGGAGAGGGGGGCGATGTATGCTCCTGAGCGCGACCGGGGACAGGCAGGGGAGGGCCCTGCACAAGACTGCAGAAGCCCTGCCAAGCAGCAGTTGGCAATCTACCACGCGTCCACGTGTCCGTGGAGGCACGGCGGGAGAGTTGAGGCATTTGGGGGTCCGGGTCCTCCCAGCACGCCTCGCATCGCGCCTTCGTCTTCGTGCTCCCCCTCCTCCTCTTCCTCCTCCGCCTCCTTCACCTCCTCCTCTTCCTCCTCGTCCTCCTCCTCCTCCCCTCCTCCTCCCCCTCCTCCTCCTACTTCTCCTCCTGCTCCTCCTCCTCCTCCTTCTCCTCCTCCTCCTCCTTCTCCGCTCCTTCCGCCTCCTTCTTCTCCTTCTCCTCCTCTGCATCCTCCTACGCCACGCCGTTCTGCAGCACTGTCTTCCCATGGCCCAGGTCACAGCCTTCCCTCGCTGGGCCTTGGATTGCCGCCCTCTTGGCCCGCTTGCGAGAACATCGAGTGCCCGAGGGGCTGCGATCCACTTCTGCTCAAGTTCCACTGGCTTTAGGTTGCGGAGGGGGGGTGCACAAAGGTATTCCAGATTCCGTAATAAAAGGGAGGGGGTCTGGACCCTCCAAGACAAGCCATTTCAGACCTCCCCCGTGGGAGAACCCCCCAAAACATCGTCCCCAGACCCCCCCAGGCCCTCCAAGATAGCCTGGAAGAGACCCCCCCCCGAAATGAGACCCCCTCCCTTTTATTACGAAATCCGGAGTACCGATACCGCAGGCGTGACGCTGTGCCTCCCCCTTCTCCTTGCCGTCCCCGTTCCGGCGACGGGCGCGCGGCCCGGCTGGGCTGGGAGCTCTCTTCCTCACAGGATGCCGGCGCTGCGCCGCCCGGGAAGCAGCAGTTGTAGGCAGGGCATGAACATTTATGTGTATACATTATATATACATACATACATACATACATACATACATACATACATACATACATACATACATACATACATACAGACAGACAGACAGACAGACAGACAGACAGACAGACAGACAGACAGACAGACAGACAGACACACAAGCATACATACACTCATACATACACCCACACACCCATACATCCATACATCCATACATCCATACATACACTCATACATACACTCATACATACATCCATACACCCATACATCCATACATCCATACATCCATACATACATACATACATAAATACATACATACATACATGCATGCATACATTCAGACATACATACACATATCTACATACATACAGACATATGTATCACCGCAGCGGCTTGATTGTTTTACAGCCCTTTCGGCAGGCACAGGGGCCCCGTTCGCAGGAACGCGCGCTGGAAGGAGGAGGAGGAGGAAGATGGGGAGGAGGACGCCCCAGACACCCGTCCCATTGAGCTCTCAATGCGGGCGTTCTTCCATGTCGGCCCCTGGGGGCGTTCTCGGGTCCAGGGCCATGAAGCAAGACTCATGGACCCTCATGCATGGATCCATGGGGCGCATCTAAAGATATCATACCTTTTGTCTTTTTGTGTCTCGCGGATCGAAGAAGAACGTGCCCGGCGCTTCCCGGGCGGCCGCCGGAGGCTTCAGCCATGACCCGGGAGCCTGACCGCGGGGCAGGCCTTCTCTCAGGAGGGGGAGAAACACACAGACACAATGAATCGTCGATCCCCAGGAAAAAATGGGAAACTATGGGGAGTGGGGGGAAGACAAAAGCCCAGGAAAAATGCGAAAATATGGGGGATCTTTTAATTTGTGTGTATTTATTTGTGTGCTTGTGGGCCCCTTTCTCAGAAGGCGGCGGGATCACAGCCAACCCGCATAGGGAGGATGAGCGAGTTTTCCAAGGTTGCCCTCGCGTCCTTGCCCCTTAGTCAAGCAGTAGCGAAGCGTCCCGGCGCGCCTATAGCCCCACCAAACAATGTTGTAAGAACCTTTTGTGGTTTCCACGAAATGTTCTTAGAACATTTCTGTCGGAGTCTGTCTTGTTTGAACACATCGGGTCTATGTTCTAAGAACATTGTTTTTATTCTTAGAACATTTTGGGGTTCTAAGAACATTCCGTGGTATGACTATTAGAAAAATGCCGGGACGGTCGGTGCCTGCTCAACATAGGCTCATTCCTGGCAACTTTCGCTGGCCAGCCCCACTCGAGAAACGTCAGCATGGCGTCCCAAGGCCCTTGCATCCTTACCGCGCATCCTTATTATACGGGTTAATTGTAGGGCGCGCGGTTCGGCGACGGGTCTCGTTGTCGACGCGCTCCTCTGCCAGTTCCCGGCGTCATGGGTTTCGTGCTCCAGGGTGCCTTTCCCGATCCGTGGATCTGGCGCCCCCCCGCGCCGGATCTGCGGGTCCTTCATGCATCTCAGCGTGTGCCCGGGAGCTTCGGGCTGCCGGTGCCATATTCGAGCTGTGGGGCCATAAGACGATCCGCGACGAGAAAAGAATGTCCATTAGGATGAGGGTTCGAGGGTCCAGGAACCCGCGTGTCGCAAGACCAGGGCAGCGATGTCGGAGGCCTGGGTACTCTGGGGCGGAGGCAATCTCCGAGCGAGGATGGGGGCTATCCACAAGTTACGGCTGTACGAAGTCGATGTGTTTGTCGCATCTTCGAACGGTTCAGATGTCCGATACGCATACGGTATCATGTCGTCTGATCGCAGCGGTCTTCCTTCAGGTAGGCTCTTCGTGGGCCCTGCGGCGTTGACCGCCCTCTTTTCATCGTGCGTGAGATTCTCGGAGGGCCACCGGGAACACCGGAAGCAGGACCTACGAACCACGGCACGACACGGAGGAAGGGGGAGATGCGAACGGGGGAAGGGAGGCGAACGGGGGAAGGGAGGAAGGGGAAGGGCGGCCCAGCGACGGCAAGAGCTTGCCTGTGAGGGCTGCATCTGGTTTGTCCGACGGTCCAGCGCCCGGTGGGGGAGCCTGGGCCCGCGACGTCGGTGGCCGGCCGCCGTGGCCTCCCGTCTTGGCACCACGCCGTGGGCCCCTTATATCGTGAGCTGCGTGTGCAGCTGCGCAGGGCGTCGCTGCGAAGCCTGGCTCCCGAAGAAGGCCGCGGCGGCCCACTGGGGGAGCTTGTGGTGCGCTTGACGCCCCTGTCTGGCGGGCGACTGCGGCTGCTCGGCAGCGCTCGTCTGAGGGCCTGCCCAGAAGGCTCAGAAGCCCCCGGCCCTCTGAGAGGTTCTCGGAGCTTCCTCCGAGGCCACAACGGCCTCCTCCGAAGGCCAGGGGGCTCCCGGGAGGCCCCGCCGCCTTCTGAGAAGGCCTGCCTCCCCCCCCCCGTCTCGGCGCGCTCCCAGGACTCCCTGGCGCGCTGCCCGGTGGTGGGGGAGCCGCAGCGGAGAGCCCCTGGAACCCGCAAGCCGACCGCGAGGGGAGGGGAGGTAAAACGACGCGAAGATCGGGACACAATCGGATCGGGATAACTCCAAATCTCTGAGAATCGGCGGGTTTGGAGGATGTATTGGGCGCCGCGGCCGCTCCAGAGCGTTCCGGAACGCTCTGAGAGCGCTCCGGAACGCTCTGGAGCGATTTATCCCGATCCTAACCCTGTTTTAGGAGGCGTGCGAGGCAGGCGGAGAGGCGAGGGAGGCGGGCCGAGGGCGATGGTCGCGGCACCGGCCAGGCCCAGCCCACCTCGAAGCGCGTCGACAAGATCATCCACTACTTGACCTATCAGGCCACGCGGGGATGGGGGGGCGGCGCCCGCCCATCCAGCTGTGCGCTCTCCCTCGGCATCTCCCCTTCTCCTCCTCCTCCTCCGCCTCCTCCTCCTCCCCCTCCTCCTCCCCCTCCTATTCCTTTCTCGCCCTTCTGAGTTTGCGCCGCCTCCTCGCCCTCACCTTGCTCTTCCTTGTCGTGCTTCCCATCATGATCTCGGAGCAGATTCGGGAAATCTCGATGAGCTCACGTGGGCGACGTCGGCACTCTAGGGGAGCGTGATGTGGTGCGCTTCATGTCAGCATCTGGCTTCAGGCCAAGAGACACTCAGGAAAAAGAGATGTTTGCGGCAGGAGTCGGCTCTCGCATGCACCTCTCGGGTGGCGAAGTTTGGGCGCATTGTCTCAGATGTGCACGTATCTTGGCATACGGCACCTCTGCTTCGTGCTATAACGCCGTCGTGAGCGATTGATCTCAAACAGATCGGGCGGGCCACCCGTTAGCGTGTGCAATACGCTGGGGCAGTCTGGTTGTCGTAGTCTACCCCGCCGCTTGTCAGTAGAGACAGTACCTTCCAGCTGCCTCCAGTTGCCCCCATTGTGGTTCAGGTGTGCGTGCCATTGGCGCACATCCGAAGCCGTCCTTTCGACCCTAGCGTCAGCTCCTACCGTTGGGTCGGCTACCGTCCTCAACTACCTGGCAAATGCTGCTGCAGACAGCATCGCGCTAGCCCGCTGGCCGGGACTGCGTTGCCCAGCGTCCGTCAATTTGCGCGGTGCTTTGGGCGCGTCAGTTTCGCTAATTATATAACATGGAGTCGCTGTAACGCTTCTTTCGCCGAGGGCCACGCTCGGGCGCTTCTTGGGCCACGTGTTATCCGTCGACCGCCGGGATTCTGATTTCACTGCAGTCAGCGCATATATACATATATATATATATATGTGCGTGTGTGTATGTATGTATGCATGTATGTATGTATGTATGTATGTATGTATGCATGCATGCGTGCATGCATTCATGCATGTATGTATGTATGTATGCATGTATGTATGTATGCATGCATGCATGCATGCATGCATGTATGTATGCATGTATGCGTGTATGCATGTATGTATGTATGTATGTACGTATGTATGTATGTATGTATGTATGTATGTATGTATGTATGTATGGATGGATGGATGGATGTATGTATGTATGTATGTATGTATGTATGTATGTATGTATGTACGTACGTATGTATGTATGGATGGATGGATGGATGGATGGATGTATGTATGTATGTGTGTCTGTATGTATGTGTATGTATGTATGTATGTATGTATGTATGTATGTATGTATGTATGTATGTATGTATGTATGCATGCATGCATGCATGCATGCATGCATGCATGCATATGCATGCATGATGGATGATGGATGGATGGATGGATATATATATATATATATATATATATATATATATATATATATGTATACCGTGTACGAGGCCCGGGCGCCCAGGATGGCATGGGAGAACCGGGGGTTCCCAAACCGCTCCCAGAGCACCCCGGAGGGGCCGTGGAGCCCCCAGACTGCCCCAGAGAGCTCCAGGACGCTCCGAGAAGCCCCGGGGGACTTCGACAAGCCCCTCCAAGACAGCCCAGATAGCCCCAAGGTGGCCCCAGATGGGTTCCAGACTGGAAATACACAGCCCTAGAGGCCTCCGAGAGGCTTCAAGAGACCTCCTTCGGGGCGTCCCGAGAGAGCCCGAAGAGGCTCAAATTTTGGATGTTCATGTAGTTTTTACGATGTTGTTTGGTGTCTCGCGTTTTCGACCTCCCGGCGCTCCACGACAGCCGACGACGCCCCCCAAGACCGCCCCAAGACAGCTGAAAAGGCCTCCAACAGAGCCCCAAGACTGGGAGCCCGAAAATTGCAAGGGGACGAGCACAGACGGCCCAAGAGAGCCCCAGAACAGGCCCAAGCTGGGCCCCAGAGCGGGAGCGGGAGGCCCCAAGGCGCTCCAAGATGGCCCTGATGGCCTCAACGTGGCCCCAGATGGGCCCAACTAGGGGGCCACATGCGAACCCCACCTCTACCCCCCACGATTTCTGAGGGGGAGGGTGGGGTTCACTTCGTCCAGGAGCTCCCGAGCGAATTGAAACCCACCCTCCCCCTCAGAAATCGTGGGGGGCAGGGGTAGGGTTCGCATGAGGCCCCCTACCAACACGGCCAATACACGGCCCAAAAGCCCTCCAAGAGACCCCAAGACAGCTCCGAGAGGCGTCCCGAGAGAGCCCGAAGAGGCCCATATCCTTGATTTCCAGTCGTTCTTTCGAATGTTTTCGCTTTCTCGCGTTCTCGAGCTTCCAACGCTCCAAGACGGCCGAAGACGCCCCGAAGATCGCCCCCAGACCGCAAAAGAGGCCCCCCAAAGAGCCCCAAGACGGCCCCGGAGAGCATGAAGACTGCCCGAGAGCAGCCCAAAATTACCCAAGATAATTCTGGGAGAGGCATAAGATGGGCCGCAAAGCGGGAGCGGGTGGCCCCAGGACGCTCCAGGACGGCCGAGATGATTCCAATGTGGCCCAAGAGGAGCTCAAGACGGCAAACGCACAGCCTAAAAGGCCTCCAAGGGGGCCCAAGAGAGCTCCGAGAGACGTCCCGAGAGAGCCCGAACAGGCGCACATCATTGATTTGCATTGGTTTGTTCGCGTTTTACGCTTTCTCGCGTTCTCGAGCTTCCAATGCTCGAAGACGGCCGCAGACGCTGGCAGACGCCCCCAAGACCGCCCCAAGACCGCCGAAGAGGCACCCAGAAGAGCCCCAGACGGCCCAAGAGAACCCCAAGACAGGCCCAAGCTGGGCCCCAGAGCGGGAGCGGGAGGCCCCAAGGCGCTCCAAGACGGCCCAGATGGCCCAGGCCTGCCCCCTCCGTCCCTCCTTCCCTCCCGCCCCCTCCCCTTGCCTCCAGTCCCTCCTCTCCTCTTCCTCCCCTCACCCCTCAGCTTTCGTGCTCCTCCCTCCCCTCCTGGGACGTCCCCGCCAGAGCGCCAGACAGGCCCCGCCAGAGCGAACGGGGCATCGCTATACCCTATCATTTCACAAGTTGCTTTCCCCCTTCCCACCCCTCAAGGGTGCCCCGGCAGAGCAAGAGCTTTCTGACGATGCGTTTCTTTGCGTCGATGGAAATGAGCCCGAGAGCGCTGGAAATCGTCGTTGTGACAACACTGGGGCTTACAGCGGCACCCGTACCCCATCTGCGACTAGAACCTCAGCGCGCGCGTAGCGCGCGTGGTTCTGGTGTATGTGTGTATATATATACATATATATATATATATATGTATACACACACGCTGCCTTGAAAACCCGTTGCCGAGCGTCGGCTGTACAAACAGTACGACTGCGAGCAGGCGTGCAAGCTCCAAAACAAGGGCCTGGCTCCTGAAAGAGCGTCACCGAGGGACCCACAAAGCTCGGTGATCCAGAGACCCTGGTGGAGCACAGCAGAAAACCCCACGGCCGGCACGTATTTGTAAAACAGGTTAACCCCGGTCCACTCTTGTGGGACCCTGCGCCCCGCACGGCATTCGAGCGGAATTCGGCCTACCAGCAGTTGCCCTACGGACATCGCTGATCCACGGACGGCCCAAGCCACCCTCAGAAGCCCTGAGGCACCTGACGACCCCCCTAAGGATCGACGAAGAGTGAGCCCAAATAACTCTCATTGCATGTTTCTGCTGCACCTTCGGACTCCTCATAGGCGCCGCGGGAGGCTCAAGCCTTCGTCGCCGCGGGAGGCTCAAAGCCTCGCGCGGCATCGGGCACGCGCGCCCCGATCTGCCCTCCTGGCCTCGTGCGCAATCCCCTTGAGAGAACCGCCCCGGGCTGCCTTTGATCGCGCGGCGTCGGGCGGCGCTCCGCCTGCGAGCCCGCGCGCGGGATCGTGACGGACTCGAGCAGGGCTGCGCCGAGATGGGCGCCGACGCGCGCGGAGGTGCGCCTCGGTTTGCGCTCGTCGCAGCTCTCGCTGGCACGGGGGCCCAGGTGCTGTGGCGGCGGAAGGCGCGGGGCCAACCGCGTGCAGGGCGTGAGGAACAGGCGGCGGTCCAGAGAGGGCCTCTCGCCTTCGAGGGTCGAAGGGGGTGGCATCTCTTCCCTGCCGCAAGGCGGTGGGTGTCCTGTGCGGAAGCTGGCGGAAGCAAGGCCTGGGCGGCGCCGCCGGCGGAAGGCCGGCGGAAGTCAAAAGCGCCTTGCTGAGAGGTGCGCATGTGAGGACGCGCAGGGCGCCCGTGTGCGAGCTGGTTCTGCGTTGGTTTCGGGGGCTTCTGCGCGCCCCTCCGGGAGCTCGGCCTCGCCGCGCGCTTCACGGGGGTAGTGAGTTCTGGGCGCTGGCGTGCCCAGAGCTGCCGCCGCTGGCTGGACCGCACTCGTGCGTCGGAGGATGCAATACCCACAGGTCTTTCCGAGCTTATTTTTAAGATCGGAACGATTGCTATTTAAGAGCTTCGAATAAGAGTGGCAAATCACATCTACATTTAAGAGCGGCCGCGCGACATTTCAAGCAGTTAGTCTCGGATTTTGTTTCGCGCCACCTAGCTGTCGAAATGCAGCCAGCGAGCCGGTCGGGTCGGCGGTAGCGGGAGCGCAACGACAGGCGGCGGGAGCGTGTCGTCGTCCGGCTGGAGCGTAGAGGTGCGCGGTGGGGCCGCGCGGGGACGCCGCGCGGGCAGGGGCTGCAGGCGAGGAGGAGCCAGAGCCGCCACGCACCTGAGCACCCCAACCCAACCCCGAGGGCCTCAAGTTGTCCTGCTCCTCCCTCCTCCCTCCTCCCTCCTCCCTCTCTCTCTCCCATCCCCAGTCTCCCTCCTCCCTCCTCCTCCTCCTCCTCCTCCTCCTCCTCCTCCTCCTCCTCCTCCTCCTCTTCTTTCTCCTCCTCCTCCTCATCCTCCTCCTCCTCTTCCTCCTCTACTCCAAACTCTTGCTGCTCCCTCCTCCTCTCTCGCCCCCTGCTTATCCCGCCCCATCTCTGGACTCCCTCCCTCATCCTCCTTCAAGCGGGAGCGCTGGTCTTGTCGGGGGGCCGGTTTTCGGCGGCGCGTCCCGGAACGTCTGGTCTGGTCTTGTGGGGGGGCGTCCCGGAACCTTCAAAATTCGGGTTGGGTCGAGTGGTCTGACAGGTCATCAGAGAGAGCCGCTCGGTGGGGCGGCGACGACGTCCGCGGCTCTGTGTGCACCCGCAGGGAAAAGAGGCGCTCCAAATACAGAGGCGGATCGTGGTGGCGGTGAGTCGGCATGCAGGCCAGGGCAAGCGAGGCGCAGGATGGGCTGATCGAGCTGGCTGTGGCGGCGGGCGAGACGGAAGGTGGCAGCGTCTCGGTAGGCGCAGCTGAGCGTAGAGATTTGCCGGGTCCCAGCGCCGAAGTTGGACGCCGTGGCTACGAAGGGCGGGCGACCATGAAGGCACGACTGACCTCGTGCTCCGCTGGAGCGGCCAGATCTGCGTCACCCCTAGGCTGCCGCGTGGAACGCGCGGGTTTGAGGGCGGCAGTTGCGTCGTATGCTGCGGCTCTCGAGGCGCTCGAGGTGGACGTGGGCGCGACTATGCGCGGGGCATTGAAGGAAAGCTGCACGGTATTCCTTGGTAGGAGCTGACAGGTCGAGGACGGGCTAGTTATCCTACGTTGATTGTGCCAGAGACTTGCGTGAAGTATCTCGTGTATTCGATGGTATGTCCGCCCATGCCGACGCGTTTCTTCCACAATTGTGTGCGTGCGGGTGGAAGTGCCTGCTCGTTTTGCTCATCGTGCGCATCACCCCGACTCGATACCAAGACTCCGAGCATGTGCCGGGTGGTGGCGCCAATTTTCACGGTGAGATCTTCGATCGCCTCAAGAGGCTCACCCAGCACAGCATCGAGGTGGGGTCGCATAAGATGGGTACTACTGCCATGTTGCCTGACGGAACGCAGTTGGCTTCGGAAAAGTGCTGGTACGGGACCCCCGCTGGCGATGCCGACATAGAAACAGACTCAGGATCCGAGGGCGTCCTTGACGAATGCATCTACCGTGCTTGTGTTTTGTTCGGAGTCGCTTCAGGGCCTTTGTGCCAGAGGACTAGGGCTACCGCTTAAACTTATGAGTAGCATCGGCAGCGCCCTGGTGTGGCTGACGAGAATGGCACATGGCCCCCAACGGAGTGATGTACAGTACTCTGTGCAGCGGGTCTCTGTAACAGGCTTCGACAGCTGAGCAGGTACGTTGGATGTGGCCGCAGAAGGACTTGACACGAGCCCCGCAGATCTTGTCCAGCGGATCGGGTTGTTGAGTTGATCGGTCATTGCCCTGCATTGAGAGTGCCCTGCGCGTTTACTCCGTAGTGTTGGTTGTTTCGACGTGGTTATGCGATCCTCTGATACCGATTCCGTCAGCAGGCGCCATCATCCAATGCGAGGTTTCATGCGATTGTTGCTCGCCATCACGCGCTCAACCACCGTCTCGTCACCCACCATTGGCCAGACGACTTAGCTTTCGCTAGTGCTTAGAGTTCTGCCGCGTTTAGCGCAGCACGTGTGTCGCAGTGCAGCTTTCCATCACGTAGCGCCTTGTATTTGCTAAACGGCTGTCGGCGCCATATAGTTCCACAACAGCCGGTCGTATTTGAGTTCCTTGGGCCGCGAGCTTACCTGACGACTCAAATCCATTGCAGTGGATTCCCAATTGTCGCGATTCCTTCGGCTCCTGCGAGTGTGAGTATCTCTCCTCGTTATTGCCTCCTCCCTCCAGCCTCGCTGATTCCTTATCCTCGTTCTTGCTCGTGCTCCTCCTGCTCCGCCCCCACTGTCTCATCCACACCTCCACTGTGTTCCCTTCGGGTTCCCCGACCTCTTCGTGCTCGCCCGCCTCTTTATCGTGGCGGAACTTCCCCCTCCCTCCCCCCTCCCTTCCGCCCAATTTTGAAATGCCGAAAAAGAAAGCGCTCACAAGGTGGGGGGGGCGGAAAGGGAAAGAGGAGTCGTGAGGCGGAGTCTCGAGAGCTCTTCCCCTTGCCTGCCAGGGGTGGCCCGTGGCGGCGGTGTGGACGTCAGCGGCGCTCGCTTGAAGGAGGAGGAAACATCGAGAGCCCGTCGCCCGAGTCGGCTCTCCTCGCTCGGGGGGGCGCGCCAGGGGGGGGCAGTGAGAGGGGACAGCGCTTCTCCGAAGGCGGCGGGGCTTCTCAGAAGCCCCCCGGCCTTCTGGGAAACCTTTTGCGGTTCCGGGGAATGCTTACGCACGTGCAGAACATGTTTCTCAGACGGCCAAGGGTTTCTTTCGCTTCCTCATCTTCTCCCTGCTGCTGCTGCTGCTGCTGCTGCTGCTGCTGCTGCTGCTGGTCCCCCTTCTCCACCTCCAGGTCCCTCCTCCTCCTCCTCCTTCTCCTCCCGCTCCTCCTCCTCCTCCTCCTCCTCCTCCTCCACCTCCCCCTCCTCCTCCTACCCCCCCTCCCCTCCTCCTCCTCCTCCTCCTCCTCCCCCTCCTCCTCCCTCCTCCTCCTCATCCTCCTCCTCCTCCTCCTCCTCCTCCTCCTCCTCCTCCTCCTCCTCCTCCTCCTCCTCCTCCTCCTCCTCCTCCTCCTCCTCCTCCTCCTCCTCCTCCCCCCCCTCCTCTCCCTCTTCCTCTCCCTCTCTGCCTTCCCCTTTAGCCGCGCCGCCGACATTCGAGAGGCGCGCCGCGCAGGGGGCGCGGCGCGCTGGCGCCTGCGGGGGAGAGGGAGGGAAAAAGGGGGGGAGGAGGAGAGGAGGAGGAGGAGGAGGAGGAGGAGGAGGAGGAGGAGGAGAAGGAGAAGGAGGAGGAGGAGGAGGAGCAGGAGGAGGAGGAGGAGGACCAGTGCAAGACCCAGAGCCATCAACGATATTGGAATTCACCCTCCCTCTATGCTCCTTCTTCACAGGCCCCTGCAACGATTCATTTCCACTGAGTGAACTGCCCCGGTGGAAGGCAACCGTCTGAAGACCTTGAAGCATGCCAGAACATTGTTCTCGGGATTCCATCGCCACGTATCACGTATTTCACTTTCATAACTTGGTACGTTGCTTGTGGGAATCCGTGACACATGCCTGCACATGTTTAAGAAGGAGTGCGTTCGGCGCTAAGGCGAGACCAACTCTTTGAAACGAAGCGCTCTCAATCCGTGAAGCGCTTCCAAGTTTTAACAACAACGAGTTCGCGCGACGCTAAGGCGAGAGCCACATGTGTAAAATGGCCCGCCCTCAGCCCGTGCAACTCTTGCAATGTTTAAGACGAATGTGCGCGGCGCTAAGGCGAGAACCACATTTTGGAAACGGCCCGCCCTCGATCCGTGAAGCTTGTGCAAATGTTTGAAAACGAATGTGCGCGGCGATAAGCCGAGAGCCACTTTTTGAAAACGACCCGCCCTCCATCTGCCCACCTGTTGCCAATGCTTAAACTTCAGGGTCATACGCGGTTAGGAAGTCTCAGGCGAAAAGCCTGGCCCGCCCTAAAATCTGGCCTCGGGGTGCGACACGGAAAAGTCATGTTGAAGGAAAGGAATGGAGGAGGAGGAGGAGGAGGAGGAGGAGGAGGAGGAGGAGGAGGAGGAGGAGGAGGAGGGAGAGGAGCAGGAGGAGGAGGAGGAGGAGGAGGTCGAGAAGGCGGAGGAGAAGGGGGAGGACGGGGTGGAGGAGGAGAAGGGAGAGGAGGAGGAGGAGGAGGAGGAGGAGGAGGAGGAGGAGGAAGACGAAGAGGAGGAGGATGATGATGATGAGGAGGAGGAGGAGGAAGATGGGGATGGTGGGCACGCGCCCTGCGCGAGGTGTACCGCTACATGAACCGGGGCCTCTTCGAGCGCGACAAGCTGATGTTCAAGCTCATCGCCGCGGCCCGAGACGCGCCGCCGATCGTGGATCGACTTCGATCGGCCGATCGATCGATGACCGATCGAGGATGCAGCATCGATCGAGTAATCATCGATCGAGTCGATCGACATCCTCATCGCTCGGTCGGCGGCGCTGTCCTTCCCCGCCCCGCGGTCGTGCGGCCCACTGCCCTCGGCCGGGCTACGCGCTGCCAAGTGGGGCCGAGGTCCCTTTCCGCGCGTCGTTCCAATGTCGGGGCTGGGCGAGGAACAAACATGCAGCACATCAATAACGATGCCTTTCCCCATACCCCCAGCGTATAAGAAGAAACCGAGGCGGAGTTGTTGTTTTTAGTTTTCGGTGCCCTGGGGAATTCGGTCAAGCAACGATCGGGGACGCGAGATCGGTCCCCAGGAGCGGTCAGGAGCTCCTGGGAACCCCGTGTTGAAGAAACAAGACATCGCCTTAATGCGGATCGACGATGAAGAATGCACCCTCCACCCGGGGGGGGGCCGCCTTCATTAATGAGGGTCGACGAATCAACACCTGGGGGCCTAAACTTTCTTAGTCGTCCCCCTCCTTTTTGGGGGGTGTCGCGTTAAAATTGATGGTTGCCGTCATCCCCCACCAGCAGAGGTGGGCCCGCGCAGCAAGGAAGCCCTCCTCCTCCTCCTCCTCCTCCTCCTCCTCCGTCCTCCTCCTCCTCCTCCTCCTCCTCCTCTGTTTCCTCCTCCCTTCCTCCTCCTCCTCCTCCTCCTCCTCCTCCTCCTCCTCCTCCTCCTTGTGCACGCCCGCGCTGCAGCGGGGGCTCGCCACGCCCCCTCGGCTTGCATCGCCGCGTCCTGGTAGGAATCGGCCCGCTCTGAAGAGAGGGGGGGGGCGGCTCGACGCGCCCCCCCCCCCTGGTTGCTGCGCCGCGTCCTCGCAGGAGCACAGCGTCGGCACGGCAGGGAGGCGCGCCGCGCCTCCTCTCAGGGGAACGCGCCGCGTTGCAGTGGGGGCCTCCCCCCTCCATCCGTTCCCGGCTTGCTTCGGCGGGTCCTGGCAGAAGTAGGCGCACGTTGCAGGGGGGCGCGCCCCGCTTCCACCTCCCCACCACTCCTTCCCGTTCCCCTTCGCGTCGCCGCGCCCTGCCCGGGCACGCCCGCACTGCAGGCGCCTCCTTGTCGCGCGCCTACCAGGAGCAGGCCAGCACTGCAAGGGGGGGGGGGGGCGCGCCGCGTCCCGCCCCCCGCTTGCTTCGCCGCGTCTTGTCAGGGATCGGCCAGCATTTCATGGGGCCGCGCCGCGCCCTGCCCCGCTTGCTTCGCCACGTCTTAGCAGGAATCGGACAGCATTGCAGGGGGGGCGGTCGCCCCCCTCCCCCGCTTGCTTCGCCACGTCCGAGCAGAAGTAGGCTCGCGTTTGCAGAGGGGCGCGCCGCGCCCCCCACCCCCCGTCTGCTCTGTCGCGTCCTGAAAGGGATAGGCCCGCAGTGAAGGAGGGCGCGCACCGCGCACCGCGCCCCTCCCCCCCACTTGCTTCGCCAGCCACCATTGCAGGGGTCTCGCAGCCCCCTCACCTTTGCCTCGAAGTGTCTCAGCATAGGTGGAGCCGCGATGGCGGGGAGCGCCTCGCGCTCCCCCCCCCCGCGTCTGCTTCGTCGCGCCCTACCAGGACTAAGGCCGCATTGCAGGCGCCTGCTTGTCGCGCCGCCGCAGGGCTAGGCCAGCACTGCAAAGGGGCGAGCCGCGCCCCGCCCCCCGCTTGCTTCACTGCAGATGGACGCGCCGTGCCCCCCGCAGCCTGCTTCGCCTCGTCCCACCATGCAGCCATGCATGAGCCCGAAGTGCAGGGGAGCGCACCGTGCTCTTCCCGCCCCATTTGCCACGCCACGGCTCGGCAATAGTAGGGCCTGTCCCTGTGAGGACGCGACGACGCAGGCGGGGGGTGGGGGGCGCGGAGCGCCTTTCTGCAAATGTGCAAATGCGAGCCTACTCCTGTTCGGACGCGGCGAAGCAAGCGGAGAGGGGGGGGGCGCGCGGCGACCCCCCCCCCCCCCCTGCCGCGCCGCGTCCCAGTGGAGGTAGGCCCGCATTGCTGAGGGGGGGGCGCCCCCCCCCCCCCCCCTTCAGGGCACGTCCGTCCGCGTTGCAGTGGGGGCTCGCCACGCCCCCTCCCTGCTTGCTTCGCCGCGTCCGAGCAGAAGCAGGCACGCCTTGCATGGGAGCGCGCCGCGCTCCCACTTCCTTGCCACCCCTTCCCTTTCCCCTTGGATTCGCCGCGTCCTGGCAGGACTGCGCCCTTGTTGCAGGGAGGCGCGGCGCGCCCCCCCACCCCCACCCCGCCCACCCACCCACCCACCCACTCCGCTGGGGCGCGCCCCGCCCCCCCCACCACCTTTGCCTCGCCCCGCTTCGGGCTGCAATGGAAGGGGGCGTGCCGCGCCCCCGCCTTGGTCTGCAGTGGAGGGCAACGCGCCGCGGCCCCTCCTGCGCCTGCTCCGCCACGTCCTGCCAGAGGCCCGCGCGCCTTGCTAGGGGGCGCGCGCGCCGCGCCCCCCTCCCCTTCGCTTCGCCACTTCGTTGCAGGACCGGGCCAGCCTTGCAGAGGCGTGCGCGCCGCGCCCCCCCCCCCCCTGCTTCGTCGCGCCCCAGCAGGAGCACGCGCGCATTGGAGGGGGGGCGCGAGTCGCCACCGCAGCCTGCTCCGCCGCGCCCTCGCAGGAGTAGGGCACCGTGGCAGAGGGGGGGCGCGCCGCGCCACCCCCCTCTCCCCCGCCTTCGCTCCGCCGCGTCCTAGCAGGAACCCAGCCGCATCGCAAGGGGGCGCGCCGCGCGCCCCCCTCGCCCCCACCTCAGCCAGCCCACTTCTCGGAAGCCGGGCGAGGGCTGCTCAATCCGTGGCTGCTGAAATCGACCTCCGGGAAGCTGTCGTCGTCCTTCCGGGAAGAAGCCCGCTGACTGTTTCGCGTGCCGCGCCCCATTCCGGGAAGCTGTTTTTTTTCTTCCGGGAGGGCCGTTGTGGCAGCCACGGTTTGAGCAGCCCTCGCCCCAGCGTTCGAGCTTCCTCGCGCCCCAGCGGGAGCAGGGAAGCGTGGCGGCGCGCGCCGCCGCCCCCCTCCGTTGCCGCGCCGCGCCCGAGCAGCGAGTGCAGGCCCGCATATTCGAAGGGGAGGCGCGCCACGCCCACGCCCCCGCCTGCTTCGCCGCGGCGTGCCGGGAACCTGCCGGCACTGCAAAGACAGCGGCCCGCGCCCCCCCTCCCCCGCCCGTTCTGCTTGGGTCTCTTCGGTTTTCTTGGCATCGCTCGGACGTGTGCATTTTTCCTTCGGCGAGGACCATGGAGGAGCATCCTTGATCATTTGGCGAAGAAACCACGCGCGACACCGAACAAAAACACAGGGAATGAACGTCCGAGCGATGGCCAGGGTCTGCACGAACGAAAGGGTACGGAAAGAATGGGCACAATGCCCGACAGCAGTTCCTGTTCACTTTGAACGGGACTCGCTGTCCACGCCGGCGCGGCCTGTGAACACAAAAACTCGGAGGTCCGCGCGGATTCCTCGGATCGGCGCTGGGGCCCCCCCGGCGGCGCCTCCGGCGCCGCCCCTGGCACGGGCTCCGCGCGCCAGGGAGGGGGGTCCGGCGCCGATCCGAGAAATCCGCGCGGACCTCCGAGCTTTTATGTTTATGCCACTTGTTGTCCCCCTAATTTCAGGAGGGGAAGAAACACACAGACACAATTAATCGTCGACTCCCAGGAAAATATGGGAAAATATGGGAAGTGGTGGGGAAGACAGAAACCCAGAAAATATTGGAAAATATGGGCAATCTTTTTATTTGTGTGTATTTATTTGTGTGTCCCAGGGCCCCTTCATCATTACCCCTCCCCCGCCCGTTCTGCTTCGCCGCCTCCCTGCAGGGGAGCGCGCGCCGGGCATCCCTTTTCCGCCGAGCTCGCTGCGTCCTGGCAGAGGTGCGCCGGTCTTGCAGGGAGGCGCGCCGCGCGTCCGCCACAGTTGTTTCCTACAATGGGTCGGGATCCAAACATAGTCAAAACATGATATGGGGTCGATTCTGATTTATTTTTGGGGGGAGGCAATTTTCCGATATTCCTGGCTAGCTCCCATTTTTGCCCAAGCCAAAGTAGAAGGAGTTTCTACGCCGACCTTGAAGCGAAAGGGAACCGCTATCGGTGACCGGTTGGAGTTCCAGGCTAACACGGTACTACCCGTGTTGGTTTTTTGTTGCATGGAGGATCCGCACCACTCTGCGCGCGCGCCGCGGCGCACGAGCGCGCGCCGTGTGGAGAGTGCTGCAGTGGTCAGGATATGAGCTTTGCCGTGCGGGCCTGGGGACCGAAGTGAGCCCTCGGCGGTGGCCGACCGGGTCTCTTAACATGGCGTGGCTCTACAGTTTCGATCGTGCACAGTACAGGCCTCTCCACGCGCTCGCGCCGCGGCCAGCTCTGCATTTGATCGCATTCGAGAACTCGCCATGTTGACAGGACGAGGGAAGCAGAGGGGGAAGGCAGGAGACGTTGGGATGGAGGAGAAGGGGGAGGAGGGGGGAAAGGAGGAGGAGGAGGAAGAGGAACGGGAGGAGGTGCGGAGGAGGAGGCGGCGGCGGCCAGTTCGTCGTCGTCGTCGGCGTCGTCGTCATCGGCGCCCAGGTCGTCCACGCAGACGACCGCGTCGAAGACGACGCAGACGACGACGGCGACGACGACGACGACGACGACGAAGGCACCGCCGCCGCGGGCTTTTACCGAAAGAAGCTTCTTTCTCGTCCTCCCCTCCGTTCCGGCACCGCCGTGGCTGCTTGGGCGCCGTGGAAGGAGGCGCGGGGGAGGCTCGGGCCGGACGAAAGGGGGGGATTGGGAAAGGGGGGGTTACGAAATCTGCTGCATGCAGCTGGTCTCGGCTCCACCGAGGGGCCCATTCCTCGATATACGTGGCCGCCTCCGGCGCCAGGAGGCGCCGGGAAAAAATCAGCCACGGGAGCTGATTTTCTCAAGCCCCCCCTTTGCTATCCCCCCTTTTCGCCCGGCCCGAGAGGCAGGAGGAGGGAGGCGGGCGTTAGGGGGCCACAGGCGAACCCTACCCCTACCCCCCCCACGATTTCTGAGGGGGAGGGTGGGGTTCACTTCGCTCGCCCTCAGAAATCGTGGGGGGTAGGGGTAGGGTTCGCCTGTGGCCCCCTGGGCATGCCGTCCTCGCCCCACGGCGATCACCGTGGTGGGTCGTCACCCGGCGGCGCCCGGGGAAAGCCCGCTTCGGAGGGCCAGGGGTCGCCACGCGGAGGCGTCGGAGCAGTCTTAAGTCGGGCCTTTCTTCTCTACAAGGAACGGAACGGAACGGAACGCCTGTGCGGGCATGCGCCCGGGCCCCGTAAGGGCGAGGCGGGTGAGGCCATGGCCTCGCATGAGAAGCTGCGCGCGTCGGGGGTCTACTCAGGACAATGCGTGCTTCAGGAGCTGGTTTCCCGACAGTCCCCACTCATCCGTTTTCTCATGATGTAGCCACGTCGTCTCGTTGAAATCGTAGTGCTTGTGGTGTGAGACTGTCGGAGAAACCCGTGGGTGTCATCGTTCTCTACAGGGGGAACATTCAAAAGTGGTCAAAACATAGCCTGGGGAATATTTGTTTAGTATATTTGGGCATCAGTGGGGCATTTCTTGAGGTATTTTTCGGTCCCTGCTCAAATTATGGGGACCGCGGGGCCGGCAAAGCTATTTTTTTAATTGTCACCCCCGAACTTCTTTTCCGAGTCATCTGCCCGCACGGTACTTCCGATAGGTCCGTTTCGTTCCAGCCTGACCTGCTCAAGCGTCTCTTCGCCTTGTGCCGGGCCATCGCCCTTTTCAGAGGCCAAAGCTCGCATTATGATTTCGAGCAGCGAGCGTGGCTACCATTGGCGGCGAACGAAGGGGGAAAGTGAGAAGGAGAAGGCTTCGTCAGAAGGCGGCGGGATTTTTCAGAAGCCGTCGCGCCTTCGGAGAAGTCTTCTGCGTCTTCGGGGAAGGAAGCCAGGGGGACTTCCGAGCCTTCTGAGAAGGCACGCCCCTTCTCACTTCCCCCCCCCGAGCTCGCCGCCGAACCATTCATCACCTTCTCTGTATACGCCATGAATATGGATCCCTCGTTTTCGCCATTCTCAGCCTGGCGGGAGGGCCCTCGTCGCAGCGGGACCCGAACATCAGGTTGTACACAACTCTCGGGACCAAGCAGCCTTTGGAGACCGAAGAAACGGTTCCCCCAAAACGTTGGGCTCACATCGGAATCCGGGCCAGCCCGCACCCCAGGAAGGGTCCAGGGAACAGCGCTGTCGATATAGTCTGGATTGCCCAGCCGGGGTGTGCATGTCTCGCGCAGACAGAGTCCCGCTCAGTTTCCGACACGTGTGCTATTTGGGTGCCCAAGGCCACGCCAACATTATTTCGATTGGGAGGTGCTCGAAGATAGTGTGCTCCGACGCGGGGATTTCCGACGTGAGGCAGTCCCCGCAGGTGACCAGGCAGGTGTCGAGAGCATTCTAGTTTCCGAGGCGCTGCTTGCGAGCATCCGAAGCACCACTTCGGTCTTGCCCTCAGGAAGGGATCGCAGGAGGTGTGTCAGAGCCCCGAATCATCAGGGGTAACTCGGGTCAGGGATAACTCGGGTTCGTTTTTCGGGAACCCAAACCCGAGTTACCCCGGACCCGAGTTACCCTGGATAACTCGGGCGTCCAAGTGTGCGCGCGGCCTCGCAGCCAGAGCCGGGCGCTCGGCAGAGGGCGGGGGGGGGCAACACGGTCGGGAACTGGTGCTCGCAGGGCACAGCGTGGTGTCCCCGGGGGTGGGTCGAAGAGTAAGGGGGTGGGACTGCGATTGCACGAAGGTGGCCCTGAATGGGGCCCTGCCCTACACGGCCCCCGAGTTGCAGCAGTGGGTCCAGCAGAAAAAGGTGATGGCAGGGTGCAGGGTTCTCCTCCCTGCTGCCGGTCGCTTGAACGAGTGGTCACACGGGGCGTTCCCAGAAGGGCCTTCCCTTCGAGGATCGAAGGAGGTGTCATCTCTTCCTCGGCGGAAGGGGGCGGACGGTCGGCGGAAGGCGGTGCGAGCGAAACGGCGGCGGCTGAAGTCGACCCCCCAAGAGGTGATAACATTTTTGGGTTCAGGGTTTCGGGAATCCGCCACATGAAAGAGAGCGTCGCGTCAAGAGTTTGGGGGAGGGGGCCAGCCAGGCAGTTCTTGCCTCTGAGGTCACGATGAAGATCATGGTCGTGGCGGGCCAGCTAACGAGCGCCGACGTGTCGGTGTTCCTCAAGGCCGGTTCCGCCCTGGACATCAAGGCCGAGAAGCCCAACCCCTTCAAGTGGATGTCGGACAAGGTGTGGTTGAACGTCTTGCAGTTGACGCGACACTCGTTTGGGCACGACGGTCAGGTCTGCACTGGTCCAGGGGAGCAGGCGAGGGGGAAGGGAGCGAGACGCGTCAGTCCTGCCAAGGCATAGTGTTACCGCTCTTGGTCTGCGGCGCGTGGGCTGGTTCAGGACAGTTTCCCACGGGGGGTGAGACCTCAGCATCCCATGCTCTGCTTCGGCGATGCTCCATTTCACATGATTGTCCATGCGTCGGCACAGAGCTCGCTTCCCCACGATCGCCTAGGCATCGGCACGACTGCCCACCGACTCTGCCTGGCAGCTCGCAGCGGGCGACTGCAGCGAGACATTCGGTTCGCTGCCCAGTTGCTTCCCAATCCAGCGGCCAACAATCACTGAGCTAAAACAGCCATGGCGACGAAGACGAAGGCTTTGTGACGGCGACCACGATGACGGCCGCGGTGGCGGAGGACGACGGCCTGCTCACAACAGGAGTGTGTGACGCGATGATCTGGCCGCAAGATGGAGGGGGTGTGCGTCCCTGGAGGTGTTTCTGGAGGCCTGGAGGAAGAAGGCAGCAGGGAAGGTGACCAGGAGACGCCCTCCCTATCTCCGTCTCCTCCCCTCCCGTCGCTCTCGTCCCGCGTTCTCCCTCACACATCTCGATCCCTCCTCGTCCCTCCTCCGACTCCTCCCCCATTCCTCCCTCACTCTCCCCTCCTTCGTCCTCATCTTTGGTCCATTCTTCCCCCCTCCTCCCTCCCTCCCCTCCTCCCTGATCCCCGCCTCCCTCCCTCCCCTCCCTCCCTCCCCTCCCCTCCCTCCCTCCCTCCCCTCCTCCTCCCTGCCTCCCTCCCCTCCTCCCTCCCTCCCCTCCTCCCTGATCCCCGCCTCCTCCACCCTCTTTCCTCGTCCTCCGCGCTCCTCCCCTCTCCCACCCCCCTCTCGGTCTCCGGGAGCCCCCGCCTGGCCACTGGGCCGTCAGAGGACGACTCGGAGTGCAGAGCCAACCTTACGTCGGGCGCGTCCCTCTACAGGGGGAATATTCGAAAATAGTCTAAACATAGTCGGGTTTTTTTTTTGAGTAATTTGTCTGACCAGTTTGGAATATGTTTCTGGTATTTTCCGTTTTTCGTTGAAAATCCCCCTGTAGGAGGACACGCCCGACTTAGCGGCAGGGGCGTTCGTTCAGGAATGCGCCCAGGAGGCCGTATACCCTGGAGGGTTCCGTATCTGATGAGGCTGGCGGTGATACCCATGACCCGTCCACGAGAGAAGTTCTTTTGGCTAACAGGCCCGGGGTTTCATTATCGAAGGATGCCTTGTCCAATGCCCCCATCGTGCATGGGATCCGATTGCCTTTACAAAACGGGAAATGCCGAGGGGGTCCCACAGAGATTGATCTTTGGGAGGGTACCTTCTGCACTCTTTCCAGCGGTGCCCTCCTTCCTCTGCACAGTTCGTCTCTTCCCCAGTCTTCCTCTCTGTCCTTGTCCTTCTCCACCTCATCATCATCATCATCATCATCATCATCATCATCATCCTCATCATCAACCTCATCATCATCCTCATCATCATCATCATCATCATCAGCATCATCATCATCATCATCATCATCCGCCCGCCTTCTCCATGCGCCCTGCTTCCTCGTGTGGCCGAGCACTTACCGGCCGTAAATGATCCTGGGCTCCAGGCCCACGCCCCCCCCTCCCCAGATGGGATGGGCCTCAGGGCCCTTCGGGCCCCCCCACCCAGATGAGATTGGGCAGGGGCGACGACGACGACGACGACGAGGAAGACACCGTCCGCTCCGGGGCGTCCTGAAGCAATGCAACACCATCGGAAGAACGATGACGGATTGGCACCTCCCATCCGTCAAGTGTAGCAGTTTTGCGTCATGGCTAGGACGGCGATGCATGTGCCGATGCCGATGCCGATGCCGACGCTGATGTCGTCCTCCTCCTCCTTCTCCTCTTCTGCCTTCTCCTCCTCCTCCTCCTCCTCCTCTTCTTCCTCCTCCTGACGTGCGGAGAGAGCAGACCCACGACGGACTGTAAAGGCCTGCCCATTGCTCTTCGTCGTGTGCAAGGTGCCGAGAGTGAGCGAGGACACCTACTGTGCACGACTTTGGCGCAGGATGAGGAGTGTACCCCGATGCTCTTCTCTTTCCTTTGTGGCGCCTATGGCGGCGCTGCAGACGTGGAGGGAAGTGCGACGGCAAGCCTGGCCCGTGTGGGCGAGGCGCTTTGAAGCGAATTCGCCAAGGTCTTCGCCCTCACTACAGATCTGAGGGTACAGGTGCTGCTGGTCCTGGCACCACTTGTCGTGCCTCGGCCAAGTACGTACTGCTCGAGGCAGCAGAATCTGGACCAGCCTCCTCGCCATCCTCTCGTGCGGGCCTGATCTCGCCACCTGGCATGCCGGCCCCGGCGGAGTGGATACGGCAACGCGAGGAGGCAGCCCGCGTCTCAGGCTCGGCCCAGTGGCCGCAGGTGGTGATGTTCTGCTAGTGGGCTCTCGAGTGAATCCTCCTCATCTTCCTCCGCCTCCTCCTACCTACGAGGGCCCGACCACCACCACCACCACCACCACCACCACCGCCACCACCACCACCGCCACCGCCACCACCACCACCACCGCCACCACCACCACCGCCACCACCACCACCGCCATCTTCGCCACCACCACCACCGCCACCACCGCCACCACCACCACCGCCACCACCACCACCACCACCACCACCACCACCACCACCACCACCGCCACCACCACCACCACCCCAACCCGCCCCACACCCACAGGGGGCTGGGGAGGGCGAGGGCCGGACCCCATTTCCACCACCGCGCGCCCACAGGGGAGGGCCCCGCCACGCCACGCCCGCGGGGGCGGGGGTGGGGGGGGCGCATCGCGCGGGGGGGGGGGCGGGGAGACCGACGGCATCGGGACGAAAGGAGGGGCGGCCCAGGCCCTGGACCATAGATCCTCACCTGCCCTCCTTCCTTTCCTCCTCCTCCTCCTCCTCCTCGAGGTCCTCCTCCTCCTCCTCCTCTTCTCCTCCTCCTCCTCCTCCTCTCTCCGCCCCTCCTCCTCCTCCCCTCCTCCTCCTCCTCCTCCTCCTCCTCCTCCTTTTCCCTCGCCCCTCCGCCCCCTCGCCCCCCCCTCCCCTCGGCGAGCCGGGGCCCCCGGGGGCCACGGGCCGCCCTTCGAGGAGGCGCGGGCGAGGCCGGTGCGCAGCGATCTCCTCGCCTGGCCTCGCCTCGCCTCTGCCGTGTTTTTTTTGTTCTCTCCCTCGTCTCGGAGACTGGAACATGTGGAGGAGGAGGAGGAGGAGGAGGAGGAGGAGGAGGAGGAGGGGGAGGAGGAGGAGGAGGAGGAGGAGGAGGAGGAGGAGGAGGAGGAGGAGGCGTCGCTCGTAGTGACGGCAACTGGGGCATATACATTACCAGTGGCGGGCCGTTTTTCAATGCCAGGACTTTTTTTGAGGGTCAAGGACGACGCTGGGGTGGTCTGGTGTATACTCTTTTTTTCCCCGTTGTCTTGGGGAAACAGCGAAGAATGTATACACCAGGATCCCGTATACACCAGAATCCGCGTTCCTGTGCGAATTTCAGCGCAGGGCCGGAAAAAACGTCGGTATATAGAGTTCGGTTCCCTATCTCCACCGGTTCTGGATCTGGAGCGGCTGGTGGAGGACGCGGTGCTGGCGCCACCCAGCCCGCTCCTCTGCTTGCGAGAACAGCGAGGCGCTTCATCCGACGTTCGACGACAGGCTCTGCCCCTCCTCCCTCCTGCCTCCCTCGCGTCCGCCTTCCTCCGTCCTCCCGCCCCCCTCCTCAGATCGAGCCCGCCCTTCGTCAGACCCAGCGCTTGGCGAGCAGTTTTGTCTCCTCCTCCCTCCCGTCATCCTTTTTGGTTCCCTGCCTCCTCCCCTCTTCCCGCCTGTTCCCTCTTTTCGTTCGCCTCCTTCCTCCCACCCCCTCGATGCCCCGTGCCCACGCTCCGCAGACGGAGATGGCTCGGACAACTGTTCATCCCCCCTCTCCTGCCGCTCTCTTTCTCTCTCTCTCTCTCTCTCTCTCCGCTCCCTCTCTCTCTCTCTCTCTCTTTTATCTCCCTTCTCCCTTCTCCACAATCACACACCATGAATGCTGCCCTCCCCTCTCCCCCGCAGACGTTCTGAGGGTGGTGCGCCCCCCTTCCCCGCATGGTTTTTCCCAACCACCCTGGTGTGTGTTGAGCTGGGTCATCGTTTTGAAGTGACAGCGCCCCGCGTCCCCCTCCTCCTCCCTCCTCCTCCTCCTCCTCCTCCTCCCTCCTTCTCCTTCTCCTCCCCCTCCTTTTCCTTCTCCATTCCGTCTCCTTATAGATAACTCCTCCCTGTCGCATCCCGAGGCCAGTTTTTAGGTCGGGCCGGGCGTTTTGCTTAAGACTTCCTCACCGCTTATGAATCTGAAGCTTAAAGACTTACAACAGCTTCACAGATGGAGGGCGGGCCGTTTTCAAGATGTAGCTCTCGCACTAGCGCCGCGCACACTCGCTTTAACAAGTTGCACGGTTTTCACTGGTTGAGGGCGGGTGGTTTTCAAAATGTGGCTCTAGCCTTAGCGCCGCGCACATTCGTTTCAAACATTTGCAAGAGCTTCACGGATTGAGGGCGGGTGGTTTTCAAAATGTGGTTCTCGCCTTAGCGCCGCGCACATTCGTTTTAAAAATTTCAATAGTTTCACGCGTTGAGGGCGGGTGGTTTTCAACAAGTGGTTCTCGCCTCAGCGCCGCGCACACTCGCTTTAACAATTTGCAAGAGCGTCACTGGTTGAGGGCGGGTGATTTTCAAAATGTGGCTCTAGCCTTAGCGTCGCGCACATTCGTTTCAAACATGTGCAAGAGCTTCACGGATTAAGGGTGGGTGGTTTTCAAAATGTGGCTGTCGCCTTAGCGCCGTGCACATTTATTTCAAACATTGCAATCGTTTCACGTATTGAGGGCGGGTGGTTTTCAACAAGAGGTTCTCGGTTTAGCGCCGCGAGCACTCGTTTTAACAATTTGCAAGAGTTGCACACATTGAGGGCGGGTGATTTTCAAAATGTGGTTCTCGCCTAAGCGCCGCGCACATTCGTTTAAAACATCGCAGGAGCTTCACGGATTGAGGGCGGGTGGTTTTCAAAATGTGGCTCTCGCCTTAGTGCCGCGCGCATTCGTTGCAAACAGTTGCAAGATTTGTCACGGATTGAGGGCGGCTCCTTTTCAAAATGTAGTGTTTGCTTTAGCGCCGCGCACATTCGTTGTCAATTGTGCAAGAGTTTCACGGATTTCCATGATCAGCGTACCAGAAATGGTGGTTCGGAGATATTCAGGATTATGCGGGTGCAACAGTTATGTTGATTCGTAGTGTCGAAGTCCCAAAAACGGCGCTCTGGCACGAGTCCGGATCGTCAAGACGCAGCAGCCAGGTGGATGCGTGGCGTCAAAATCCCGAGAGCAATGTTTCGGCATGCTTCAGGATCTTCAAACGGTTGTCTTCCAACGAGGCAGTTCTTTCAATGGAAATGAACCGTTGTGGGGGCCTATGAAGAGGAAGCTTGGAGGGAGGGTCAATTCCAACATCGTTGATGGCTCTTGGTTTTGCACTGGTCTTCCTCCTCCTCCTTCTCCCTCCTTCCCTCCCTCCCGCCCTCCTCCCTCCTCCCTCCTCCCTCCTCCCTCCTCCCTCCCCCCCTCCCTCCTCCCTCCTCCCTCCTCCTTCCTCCCCCCTCCCTCCTCCCTCCTCCCACCTCCCACCTCCCTCCCCCTCCTCCCTCCGCCCTCCTCCCTCCTGCCTTTTGCCTCCTCCCGTCGACTCTCCCCGCTCCTCCCTCCTCCCCTCCTCATCCCCCTCCCTGCTCTGCCTGCCCCCCCCCGCCGCGTGTACAACAGTTCGGCGCACCCCTGAGGCCCCAGCGGCAGCGCCCCATAGGAAGCTCAACCGAAGGCCCAAGTGGCAGCGCCAGCAGGGCAACGCCGCACCCGTTTCGGCACACCTCTTCACACGCTTCGAGGTCCCATTGGTTGCTCAACCGAAGGCCCCAGTGGCAGCGCCCGCATGGCTCCGTCGCGCCCGTTTCGGCACACCCCTCACACCTTTCGTGGCCCTGTGGAGAGGAGCACCAAAGGCCCCAGTTCCAGCGCCCACATGGAGCCGCCGCACCCGTTCTGGCACTCACGCGATGCGTGGCCCCAAGGTTTCACCGACGGCCCCAGTGGCAGAGCCCACATGGAGCCGCTGCATCCGTTTCGGCACACCCCTCACACATTTCGTGGGCTCGTGGGGAGCTCCACCGAAAGCCCCAAAGGCAGCGCCCGAATGGCACCGACTCGCCCAGTCCAGCACACTCTTGCACGTCTCGCGGCCGCATAGGGAGCTCCACCGACGGCCCCAGTGGGAGCGCCCGCCATGGCACCGCCGCGCCCATGTCGGCACACCCCTCACAGATGTCGTGGCACCCACTGGGCGCTCCACCGAAAGCTCAGTGGCAGCGCCCACATGGTACCGCCGCACCCGTTTCAGCACACCACTCACACGCTTCTTGGCCCCACAGAAGATCCCAGGTGCAGCGTCCGCATGGCACCGCCGTGCCTGTTCCGCAGCAATTTCGGCACTCCTTTCACGTTTCGTGGCTCCATAGGGCGCTCCACCGAAGGCCTCAGAGGGAGCGCCCGTCATGGCACTGCTGCACCCGTTCAGGCACACCCCTCACACGTTTCGGGGCCAATATGGAGTTCCACCGAAGGCCCCAGTGGCAGCGCCCGCGTGACATTGCCGCACCCGTTCCGACACACCCCTAAGACGTTTCGCGGCTCCATGGGAAGCTCGACCGAAGGCCCCAGTGGCAGCGCCCACATGGCACATCCGCCCCCATTGTGGCATACCCCTCACACGTTTCGTGGCCCTATACGTAGCTCCACCACGGCCCCAGTGGCAGGGCCCGCATGGCACCGCTGCGCCAATTTCGGCACACTCCTCACACCTTTCGTGGCCCCATAAAGAACTCCACCGAAGACGACACTCTCAACCGCGGTACTCACAACTGCATGTGGACTGGCGCCCGCCAGGATAATGTCTATTTTCTATGTGCCCCTCCAATCCGAACGTTCTCGGTTCTGCCGACACGGTGCCCCCGCTGCAGCGTTGGCCCCATTCTCGGATCGGCGCGTTGCTCCCGTGGTTCCAAGTGGCGCTCTCTCCCCGGCGCGGGCCACATTTCTGGACCCGAGTGTTTCACTGTTGCTGCCGCCCCCTTCCCTCCCCCCTCCCCCTTGGCATCGCTCGGGCGTGTGCATTTTTTCCTTCGGCCAGGACCATCGAGGAGCATCCTTGATCATTTGGCGAGAAAAACCACGCACGAAGCCGAACAAAAAAACACAGGAAATGGACGTCCAAGCGATGGCGAGTCCCCCGCCTTCCGCCTTCCTCCGGTCCTTTGCTCCTCCCGCTGCTCCTGCTTCTGCTGCAAGTCCTCTTCGTTCTCCTCCTTCTTCATCATCCTTCTCCTCTTCCTCATCCTCGTCCTCCTGCTCATCTGCCGCCTCCTCCGCCTTCAATGTGCACAGCTCGCGCAATGGGAAGAGATGGGTGGAAGGGGGAGGATGTCAGATATGGCTCGAGCACGCCTAGCATGCTCTCTCCCATCTCGCCTATCGCCTTTTTCCCTTCTCTCCTTCCTCCCCTCCTCCCCTCTCCTCGCCCATCCTCCGGCTCTCTCTCCTCCCTCCTCCCTCCTCTCCTCTGAATGCTTCCCCCCCTCCCCCCCGCACTCCTCTCCCGCCGCCAGGTCTTCTACCGCGACCTCGCGGACAGCGTCCAGCGCAGCGAGGCCAGCTGGCGGAAGTGGTTCGACGAGAACGAGCCCGAGAGCGTCCCGGTGCCCGACTTCGAGGAGCACTGCCGCGGGCGCCCAGCCGCGCGCGGCCCCGCCCCCGTCGGCGCCGTCGCCGCCGCCTTCCGGGCGGGCCCGCCTTCGGGAGAGGGGGGGGGCACTCCTCCCCCTCCTCCTCCCTCCTCCTCTCCTCCTCCTCCTCCTCCTCCTCCTCCTCCTCCTCCTCCTCCTCCTCCTCCTCCTCCTCCTCCTCCTCCTCCTCCTCCTCCTCCTCCTCCTCCTCCTCACCTCCTCCACCTCCTCCTCCTTCCTCCTCCTCCTCCTTCTCCTTCTCCTCCTCCTCTAGGCCTCCTGGATGGGATCGGAGTAGATGGGGTTGGAGAATCGCGCCGCATCGCCGATGCATCGCCGATGCGGCTCGATGTGGAGCCCGTGCTTCTCCACGCCGACGTCGCCGAGGCATCGCCCACGTCGAAGACACATCGCAGGTGCATCGCCGATGCATCTCGTATGCATCGCCGACGTATCGGCGATGCGGCGCGATCTTCCGCCCCCATCTACTCCGACCCTATCTTGGAGGCCTCAAAGGTTCAGCACCGCCATCCAGCGCCCACCGGCAAAATCGGAGCCTTCTCCAAGCGCTCGGCGCCAGGGAGCCTGGGGATGCTCCCGCAGAGCTCCCCGACCAGCGGAGGCAGCTGCAGTCGGGCCAAGGTATGGGATCGAGGGGCGGTTCGGGGAGGGTGCCCTACGATTCTTCGTGTTTGTTCGATGTTCTTGTGCATGCTGGGGAGGGTATACTCTGGGATCTTCTGTGTGTTCTGGCCGGGGAGGACTAGTGTTCTTGGAGGATAACTTCTCCGGTCTTAGGTCCGCCTGCACCTGCGCTGTGATGTCACCGTGCTTCGAACTTCCGAGACGGTGACTGGGCCGTTGGTGGTTGAGCCGAAGTGCAAAGACGGTCTGGATTATCAAAGCACGGGCCCAGTGTTCCTAACCACCACTTCGTAATCCCGAGTGGTGGTTAGCGGGGCTGGTGCCCTGCGTGGATCGCCTGCATTACCGGCCATCCACCTTAATAATGATTAGGCTTGTTAGTGGCGGTCCTGGAAGGATATCGTTGGGGTCGATCCTGGAGGGGTCTGCGGGGCGGGAAAGCCAACAGGGTCCAAAAGGCCACCACGAGAGCTCGCGAGCGTCGACGTCGTCGCCGCCGTCGTCTTCGTCCCCCTTTGAAGTCGGCGTCACTGGCCGTAAGGCCTTCGCAGTATGAATCTTATTTGTTTCCCCGCAGACGGCCTTGGCCTGTTAGGCCATGACTGGCCAACCATACCATACCATCATCGCAGTAACCACCAAGTCGTTCATCCGAACGTACCTACAAACTCGTGACACTCCCCACATAGAATACATCAAGTATCATCTGCTCGACTTTTTCTCCCTCCCCTTTCACTCACCGAATTGTTCCACTACTCGCAGATAGCCTACTCGCAAACGTCCGAGACACACGCACACAAGCACACACCCACACACATGTTTGCCTCGATGTACTTGATACCCTCCGCGTCGTATCCAGGCAACCTGCGAGCAGTGGAACGCATGCTGTTTGCCTCTTCTCTCGTTTCCTCCCCCATCTCTGTTCATTCAAGCTTCGCGCGGCCCGCTTAGCCTCGACCGGAAGAGGTGCGCTCTCGACCCGCGAATCACAAATGCTGTGTGCCTCTCCTCCCCCTCCCCCTCCCGGGCCGCCTCTGGACGCGCGCCCGTATTTCCTCCCACCCCCCACCCCAGCCCTCGCCGTCCCAGCATGCCCTGCCCGGGCGGCTCCTGGCCCCCGACGCTCCCCAAGGGCGCGTCGCTTCTCCTCCCTCTCCCCCTTTCCTCCTCCTTCTCCTTTCCTCCTCCTCCTCCTCTTCCTCCTCCTCCCTCCTCCTCCTTCTCCCTCCTCCTCCTCCTCCTCCTCCTCCTCTCCTCCTCCTCCTCCTCCTCCTCCTCCTCCCCTCTCCTCCTCCTCCTCCTCTCCTCCTCCTCCTCCGCCTCCTCCTCCTCCTCCCTTCCCTCCTCCTCCTCCTCCTCCTCCTCCTCCTCCTCCTCGTCCTCCTCCTCCTCTCTCCCCTCCTCCTCCTCCTCTCCCCCTCCTCCTCCTCCTCCTCCTCCTCCTCCTCCTCCTCCTCCTCCTCCTCCTCCTCCTCCTCCTCCTCCTCCTCTTGCTCTCCCGCCTCCTCCCCCCAAAGGTCCCCCAAAGGCGCCCCAAAGGTTCCTGGTTCCAGGTTCCCGCCGGGTTCCCGGTTCCAGGTTCCGGGCCGTTCCTGGGTTCTTGGTCGATCTTCTTATCGATCGGTCTTACCATTGATCTCATTACCCATTTCTATCGATCTCACAATCGATCTCACTATTGATCTCACAAGCGATCTCACTATAGATCGCACGAGCGATCTCGCGATCGATCTCACTATCGATCTCATTGAATCGACTTCACTCTCGGTCTCACGATCTACTTCACAATCGTCCTCACTATCGATTACACTATCGATTCCATGATCGATCTCACAATCGATCTCAATATCCATATTTACTAATTTTCAAACCATCCGCTGATTGGTGTTTTCTCTGGTGTAATTGTTTTATACTGTTTTTTTTGTGTCGGGGGAGTTTTCGGGCCACCTGGGGCCCTCACTGAAGTTTCTGCCGGTGGCCTCCTGGGACCTCTGGGGGCCTTGCGTATGCTTCGAAGCCCATAGGCCCCCCGACTTCACGCGCCCTTCATTCATGTTCAGGCCCACTGCTCGTAACGCCACGGTTCTCTGGCCGATTGCGCAACCCTTTGCGGGCACCGTCGACGCTGCGGGTTCTGAGCCCCAGCCAGTGTTCCAGAAATCCTGCCTGCCCTCACTCACCACCCACCAAACCACCCCAACCCAACCCGAAGGCCTCAAGTTGCCCTCCATGTCCAGTTGGGGGGGGGGTCGGGGAACACTGAAAAAAACACATATGGTACCCGTACCCCTCCCAACCCGAAATTTGGGTCTTCGGGTTGGGTTGGGGTGGTCTGGTAGGTAGTCGTGCCCAGGCAGGGCTCGCCTGTGGTTGTGCAAGGGTGCTCCTGCTGCGGCCTCGCGCGCCCCGTGTGGCCGTCGCTCCGTTGCGCCAAACCCTTGGCCGAGGACCGCCTCGTGGTGGAGCGCACCCTGGGCCCGTTCCTGCGCCTCGTCGTCGTGCGGAGCATGCGGGAGGACCCCCTCGGACCCTCTCTTTGCTGCCAGCGGTGGCTCGTCTCAGGGTGTACCGCATCTCCTCCTCCTCCTCGGCGGCGAGCGAGGGGGGGAAGCGAGAATGTTTCGTGCTCTATGCTGATGTCTCGTGCTCTTTCGACTATGTTTGATTCTTGATGGATTGTGTGTTGTGTGTCATTATGAGTCCACCTGTGGGAGGACATGCCCGACCTAATTGTAAGGTGTACCGAAGCTCCTGCTCCTTTTGCTCAGCTTCACCATCCTCTTCCTGTTCGTCTACGTAAGCCTCCCAGAAGGGGTCCGAGTAGATGGGGTCGGAGGATCGCGCCATATCACCGATGCATTGCCGATGGGGCTCGATGTGGAGCCTGATTTTCTTCACGCCGACGGCGCCGATGCATCGCCGATGCATCGGCGATGCACGGGCGATGCATTGGCGATGCAACGCGATCCTTCGACCCCTTCCGCTCGGACCCCATCTGGGCGGCCTCCAGTTCGTTCGCAGGCGGTGCCTCGCCCCCCAATCATCGAGGGCTTGCCGAACAAAAACGTGGCCTCTCGGACAAAGGGGGAAGCGCAAAGACGCGCCCCCAGGGGCCCGGCGGGGGGGCTATTCGGACGCACCTCCGTCAAGAAAGGACGCCCCCCCCGTCTTAGATCCCCGGGAGGAGTAGGAGGAGGAGGAGGAGGAGTAGGAGGAGTAGGAGTAGGAGTAGGAGTAGGAGTAGGAGTAGGAGTAGGAGTCAAGCTAGCCAGCTCGAGCGAGTCAAGCATGGCATGCCCAGTCCCACCCGCCCTCCCACAACATAAGAAGCAAAAGCTGGCACAACTGGGGGCCGAAGTCACACCGGCCAGCCGGTTTGTACAGCTGATGCGGCCGCGATGGCGGTTGCCGACGGGATCTGGCGAGCGCGTGTTGAATGCCGCGCACGCATTGCCGCGACGTGCCAGAAGGCCCCAACTTGAATTGTTTTTTTATAACGGGGGGGTTTGGATGGGCGGGCGCGGGGTGTGCGCCGCATCCCATTCCTGCCAAGCATTTTGCGACGTGGACGACAGGACGTCCATGCTGAGAGGAAAAACGTTGGTGCGCGGCGCCGAGGCGAGAGCGACATGTCACCCCTTCGCGCGGGGTGTGCGCCGCGTCCCATTCCTGCCACGCATTTTGCGACGTGACGACAGCACGACCATGTTGACAAGAAAAACAAAACTGTGTATTGTCTTTTGCAGATTCGAATGGGACGGATTGGATGGGCGGGCGCGGGGTGTGCGCCGCGTCCCATTCCTGCCATGCATTTTGCGACGTGGGCGACAGGACGTCCATGCGACGGTGCCAATGACGGCGACGACTCTAGAAGGATTTGAGCATGCGCTCGCGGCGACGCGCGCGCATGTCGCCCGCGTGGTATTTTTTGCACAGGATTCGCGGCCTGGGTGCATGACAGAGCATCGCGAGTGCACCGCGCGATGACGTGAACTCGCTGGATTTGACAGAATTCTTAAGATTCCTATGGTTTTCCTATGATTTCAGCAAGAGAGCCCGGGCAGGAAATTTGTAGAATTTTTGTGAAAAAGCATTGGGTTTTTGATGTTTTTATGTTGAAATGCTTGCAAACACACGGTGTTCGGTAGGACTCTGACATGAACGCGCGCGTGTGCTCTTTGTTTTTTTTTTTTTGCAATGGATTATCGCCGTGGACGACAGGACGTCCATGTCGAGAGGAAAAAATAAGACAACTGTTAATGTTGTATTGTTTTTTACAGGTTAGGATGGGACCACCTGGATGGGGCCCCTATCTGCCGGCCTGAGGGGTGAGTAGGAGTATATTCGAATAAGGAATAAGGATAGGAGTAGGAGGAGGAGGAGGAGGAGGAGGAGGAGGAGGAGGATGACCCCACGCTTCTGTGGGGTAGTCGAGAAAGAACCCCACAGAGTCAGGGACTGGGGTCGCCGTGCCCCTCCCTCTGCTTCCCGTGGCGGCTGCTGGTCCCCGGCCTCCTGATCTCCTCCGCCAGCGCCATGTGCACACAGCCTCGAGCCCAGGCGTGGTGCTGAGACCAGGGCTGTCCCCCTACAGGGGGATTTTCGATGACAAATAAAACATACCCCTAAAAATATTCAAGTTGAATATTTTGAAGTTTGGGAGTATTTGTTGAATAATTCAACAAATACTCCAAAACTAATCTGGGGACTATTTTGTTTGATTATTGTTTGACCTTTTTGGTGCATTTTGGGGGTATGCTTGATCTTTCGTCGAAAATCCCCCCGTAGGGGGACAGGCCCGAGCCCAGGCGCGGTTATTGAGACCAGGGCTGTCAGCTGCTCCGTTCTGCCGGTGGCGTGCTCGGCGCCCTGCGTTCCTTCGGGCACGCCTCCGCAGCAGCGGCGCCGCGCACGGCGTGGGGCGGGCGTCGCCGAGCCCGCGGCAGGCCACGCGCGTGCACTGTCTCTATGTTTATGCGCTCTTGCGGAGCCATTTGGGACTCGAGGCTCTGGGCCTATCAGGAGGGAAAAAACACACACAGAGACACAATTAATCGTCGACCCCCAGGAAAATATGGGAAAGTATGGGAAGTGGGGGGGAAGACAAGAACCCAGAAAATACATAGGAAAATATGGGAAATCTTGTTATTTGTGTGTATTTATTTGTGTGTCCCAGGGCCCCTTCATATATGTTGATGCGCTCTTGCGGAGCACTTTGGACTCGAGGCTCTGGGGCCGCCAGCCATGCGCAGGCGCAGGGCTGGTCTTCTGACGAATACAGTCAACCCGCGTAGTAAGGATGGGTTTACTGTATTCGTCAGAAGAGGCAAGCCCTGCGCCTGCTGCATGGCTGGCGGCCCCAGTAGAGGCCTCCTAGATGGGGTCGGAGGAGATGTGGTCGGAGGATCGCGCTGCGTCGCCGAGGCATGGCCGATGCGGCTCGATGTGGGGCCCGATTTGCTTCACGTCGACGTCGGCGATGCATCGCCGACGTCGACGATGCATCGCCGGTGCATCACCGATGCATCGCCGATGTATCGCCGATGTATCGGCGATGCGACGCGATCCTCCGACCCCATCTACTCGGACCCCATCTAAGAGGCCTCTATCGGGGCCGCCAGCCATGCGCAGGCGCAGGGCCGGTCTTCTGACGAATACAGTCAACCCGCGCAATAAGGATGAGCAACCTTCCCCAGGGCACCCTTGCATCCTTGCCTCCTCGGTCCCTTCTTGGACACTTTCGTGGGCCGCGCCCCGCTCGAAGAGCTTCGACATGGGCGTCCAAGGCCCTTGTCCCTCATCGCGCATCCTTATGATACGGGCCGGCTTGTACGTGTCGCCCCTGCCCTGAGCTGCAGCCTGGGGAAGAGCCCTTTTTGGGCCCTTGCATCCTCACCGCGCATCCTTACGACACGGACCGGCTGTACCTGTCGTCCTTGCTCTGAGCTGCAGCCTCGGGAAGAGCTCTTTTTATGCCCTTGCATCCTCATCGCGCATCCTCACGACACGGGCTGGCTGTACGTGTCGTCTTTGCTCTGTGCTGCAGCCTCGGGACGAGCCCCTCCTCTCTTTCTTCGGCGTCCCCCCAACATACTTATACTATATGTTCGTCGCCCCCCCAGGGGGCGGCGCGCACACCGAGAAATCTTATAGTATTTGCGTCGTGGCGGGCGCTTTC